CCCTCCTGCTGACAACTTTCTCTCAGCTCCTCTACTCTCCCAAGCTTCATTCATTCTCCCTCAGAGGCATGAGATAGAAATAGCCAGCCCACTCCACGTCTTTTTTTTTATTGCATTTTAGGTTTGGGGGTACATGTGAAGAACATGCAAGATAGTTGCATAGGTACACACATGGCAGTGTGGTTTGCTGCCTTCCTCCCCATCACCTATATCTGGCATTACTCCCCATGCTGTCTCTCCCCAACTCCCCGCCCCCACTGTCCCTCCCCTATTTCCCCCCAATAGACCCCAGTGTATAGGGCTCCCCTCCCTGTGTACCACTCTACGTCTTTACAAAGACAAGGAAGTCCAGTCTCTCGGGCCAGTTCTCCCTGACTGTGCCTACAAAGTCCTTGCCAAAAGCTGGCGACACAAGCTTGCTGACACAGTAGATCCAGGACTGGCTGTGCAAGGAGCCCTGGGATCTTCCGGGAGCCCTGGCCAGGATGGAGTGCTATGGGTATGAGTTATCTACTGCACATGGCCAATGACCCAACACTTAGTGGCTTCAAATAATAACCAAGGATTATCTTGGAGATACCTCCAGAAGGCAAGCTCGGTTGAGTCGTGAGTTGCGGGGCACTGTGGCCAGGCAGGTTGTGTGAGAGCCCAGCAGCTGAGTGTAAGCCACGCCCTGCCGAGCTCCACCCTGCCATGCTGGCTCCCCTCTCAGCCGCCCGCAGTGACCCAGATCACACAAGTGACTTTTTTTTTTTTTTTTTTTTTTTTTTTTGAGACCAAGTTTCATTCTTATTGCCCAGGCTGGAGTGCAGTGGTGAGATTTCGCCTCACCACAACCTCCCCCTCCAAGGGGTGAGGTTGCAGAGAGAATCAAGCAATTCTCCTGCCTCAGCTTGATTCTCCTGCCTCAGCTCCCAAGCAGCTGGGATTACAGGCACCTGCCACCACACTCGGCTAATTTTTGTATTTTTAGTAGAGACAGGGTTTCGCCATGTTGGCCAAGCTGGTCTTGAACTCCTGACCTCGTGATCTGCCTGCCTCAGCCTCCCAAAGTACTGGGATTACAGACATGAGCCACTGCACCTGGTATGAGTGACTTTCAAAGCCCAGCTAGATTCCAGAGGAGAACTTTCCCCCATCTTCACCTTGTGGGTCTCTCTCTGATCACTCTGCCCACCACCTCCCTGGGCCTCAGTGGAACCTCCCTTCTCTGCCTCTGCCTCCCCATCATGGTTTGGTTTTTAGAAGCCAGCAGAGAGAAGCTGGTGTATATGCTGACTTCATAAAGGCCAGGGGGACACCCCATCCCCAAAGGGTCCCCAACAGCCCATTAGCAGGGTCTGATGGCTTTCTGAGTTGTAGGGAACCTCTCTCTGTTTCCCTGCCCATGACAGATGCTATCCTGGACCCGAAACCCTCTGGAACCAGAGAGATGAAGTCCATGGACTCATCCTACCTAAGGACCAGTGTCTAGGCTGGCAGCACAGCTTGCATGACCCAGTGACCGGCACTGACAATGATCTCAGCCTTCATGATATTTAATATTATAGAAACCCCACCCCATGCCCGCAGCGGGGCTACTTGACCCCAGCCCCTCCTGGAGGGCCTCTCCAGAACAACTGTAACTTTGTACTCATGACAACCACCGCGTTCACTCCTCCCAAGCACAGGGCCACCGGGGAGAGGTTCGTTCAGCAGCTCCACCATCTCAGGCCACCGTAACCTCCTGCCCCTGTCTTTGTCCTTCTGAATCCCCGGGGTGAAGCTCAGGGCCCAGCACATAGTAAGTGCTCTGAAAACATGTCTGTTGAGTGAACTCTGCAGAAACGGCCCTGGCGAGAGTGAAGAGAGGGTCTGACAATAGTCCTGGTACCGCTCGGCTGTGTGGCCTTGGGCCGCTCTCCATCCATCTCTGAGCTTCAGTCCTCTCACCTGTACAGTGGAAATCAGAGCTTCTAAACTACCAGCCCAGAGTCCTCACCTAGTTTAGATATGTTGTTTACAGCTCATTCAGTGTTTAATTTTATTTTAAAATTAATTTTCAAGATTTGAAAACTAGATTTCTGTAAAACTTAAAGTCTTCAGTTTTTATTGAAAGATGAGAAAACCTGGATGGACCCATAGTCCCGTAGACAACAATCGGCTGGCCTGGGCAGCAACTGCCTCTTTACCTGGGACATCCATTAGCTATTTGGATACAAAGCCACCTCCCCTCACTATGTCCTTACCAGCTTGCACCACTCACGTGTATCACCTGCCTGGTCCCTGCAAGGCATCTGAGTTTGCAACCCCTGATTGAGATTCTGAGCTTAGCGCAAACTGATTGTTTTTTGGGTTTGTGAGGCCTAGGGGTGGTGTTACAGGATTCCTAGGTGACAAAACCCATCAGCACCCTGGATAAAACACCACATGAGCTGAGTGGAGGGAAACACTGCTGTTTCTGACGATGACACAGTCTATAAATAGCCTTGGAGCCAGGTGAGTGCTAACACCTGCCTGATGTCACCTGGGCCCAGAGCCCTCAAGAGCTGGGCATGTGTTCAGCTCCTGGCTTAGCCTATGGACTGTCCCGCCTCCTAATGCCACTGAGAATGACACAGGAAGGGATGACATCATAGCTGAGGCTTTGGGGAAGGTGGTTTTCCTCTGGCTCAGACAGGAGGTAGTGATGATTCTGATTTTCCGAAGAGAGTGGAAGGAGTAACATGAATGAAAGAAGCTGGTTCCCAGTTCAGAGTCCTAAGCATGGAGTCTTTGCACTACTGATGGCTCCCCAGTGCTATCCAACAATGTCAGGCCTCAGCTGAGCCATCAAGAGTCCTCTGAGATGGGGTCCCCACAGGCTTTCAGCTCATGCGCACTATTAAAACCACCTAAACCACCTCCCTAGTCCCTGAGCACCACAGCCCCCTGGCTAACCCCGCAGTTTCTGTCTTATTGTGTTGTTTGCCCAGGCTTATCTCTCTTGCCTCCCCACCCTGTCCCAAGGACCAGCATCATGGTGAGAGTGAGAAGGGTTTGATATGCAATAACCCTAATCGTGAAGTCAGACACACTGGTCCCAGCTTCAGCAGGCTGGTCCTGGGCAATTCACTCCCCGTTTCTTGGGGGCTGGCTTCCCCATTTGCAAAATGGAGCTGCCTCTCAGCCAGATGAGCTCACAGCTGGGAAAGGACTCTGAGAACTGAAATGGTCAAGTGATTGAAGGCAGCACTCCCCTGGGGTAGGGCTGCTCATGCTTCACCAGGATGGGGCATAAACTGAGTTCCCCCAGGAGCAAGCTTGAGAAACAACAGGGCATGCCGAGCTGCCTGCTGTAGCTGAAGGCCCTGTAAGCTCAGGGCCTGGAACTGGCCGCAGGGAAGCCTGGGGCCTTATGGAAACCTCATGGCAAAGCACATGGGGTGATTCCTCTCCTCTGCTCTCAAATCCACAGGATGCACTGGTAGAGGAGGGTCTGGGACATGTGCTGAGGGCTCGGGCAGGCTCCCCACTCGGGTCTGCTCACCTCAGGGCATAGTCACAAGAAAGGAGGGGTTGCTCCCTAGAGCAGAGTGAAGCCCCATTCTAGGCTGGGATCTGGAATGCATCCCACCTGGGCTTCACTGGGTGCCTAGGCCCCTCCAAGGCCAGGAAGCAGAGAAGCGGGATATGGACTTCCAGAAGCCAAGCTAGCCAAACTTCCAAACTTTCAGAGGCCAAGCTAGCAATCTCATGAAGCTAGGACGCTGCTCTGACCTTATGAATTTGCTTGGCTGGCATTTTGCTGCCCTACTGGTTCCTATGAGCCAATTCAGGATCTGGGGCAGGTCAGTCCAGAGCCAGTCCCTGCTCAATCTCACCTGCCTCCAAGGCTCAGCCTCACCCCTTTCTCTGGCCACTCAGGTCTCTGAGGCCACTGCTGTCTGAATCTCAAACTCTGAAAAAGATAGTCCGGACTCTGTCCATCACAGATGTCCACAGGTACAGTACTTAGTTGACAAATCCATCCCTCTCTAGTTCATTTTATCCTAAGAATAGATCTGGGAAAAAAGCAGGGTGAGGAGCGTGATCACACCCTCCAGATGGGAAACTGAGGCCCAGAGAGACCTGGGAACACTGTGCAAGCTGGTAGCAGGACTCCAGGGTTCCCTAGACCTAGCCAGTGCCCTCCTGTGTCCACGCCTCAGCTTCCCCTGGGCACAGTGCAAGTGTTGGGATGGATGCTCTCTCAGGTCCCTGCCTGGCGTCCGTTTTTTGCAGGCTTCCCACCACCTCACAATCAGGGTGGCTCTGGCTGCTGGAAAGCCCACTTTGGGCACGTGGGGTTTAAATGCTTCTGCTGTGGATCTCCCCACTGAGTCCCCTCCCAGGGTGCATGCTGATGGGAGGGGGCAGGCGGCGATCTGAGTTTGCATCTGGCAGAGCCGTGGGGGAGGTGGGGAGCTGTCAGCGTGAGTCCTAGGAGGAGGGAGTCAGATCCAGTCCTGGGGAGGGCTGGGGGTCTGGCAGGAGCATGGCGGGCCCAGGCTGCGTTTTCAGTCTGGCTGGAAGCGGATCTGGGCCCTAGAAACAACTAGAGACAGGCCCAGGCCGGGACAAGCAGGCTGCGGGGCATCATGGGAGGTGTCTGAGCTTACCTCCTCCCTCCTGCGCCTCTGGCTCACTAATCCCGCCTCTCATCTCACCCTTCTCTAACCCTCTCCGACTGCAGGACCTAGGGCGGCAGGGAAGCTATTTGCCCTGAGCCTTACCTATAAAGGGCTCAAAGGTACACTTTTGTTATTATATTCAGATTGCAGCATGTAGATGCTCATATTTGGGAGCTAATTATGTTTTAGCATTTTTCCTTTTTAAAAACATCTGCTGGTACCTGTCTGTGCTCTGGGTTCTCCCGGCCTGGAGGCGGGAGTGTTCCAAAGCAATTCGCGCCAAGCGGTTACACCGGCTGGCTGCGCTGCCCGCTGCGACCGGCAGGGGTCGCCCACAGACAGGCCCGGAGGAGGCGGGACTGGGGCGGGGCCGCGAACCCGGCCAGGCCAATAAAGGCGGCGGCGAGCGGCCGCCCGGGACTCGGCCTTCTGGTCGCGCGCGACCTCCCTTTCCGAGTTCTCTGTGCTCCCCGCTGGTGTCCCGCCGGACCCGCGCCCACCATGCTGGCGCTGCGCTGCGGTTCCCGCCGGCTCGGCCTGCTCTCCGTGCCGCGCCCTGTGCCGCTGCGCCTCCCCGCGGCCCGCGCCTGCAGCAAGGGCGCCGGCGACCCGTCCTCTTCCTCCTCCCCCGGGAACCCGCTCGTGTACCTAGACGTGGGCGCAGACGGGCAGCCGCTCGGCCGCGTGGTGTTGGAGGTGAGACCGCTCGCAGGGCCGGCCTGGGCGCGGGGCACGGGCCCGGGAGAGCCGTGGGCTCCGGGCGGCGCGGTGCCGGGCGCGCTGGGTGACCTCGGATCCCCCCTTGCCGGGTTTCTGGGCCTCAGTTTCCCTGTTTCTGAGAAGGGGCGTCAGATTGATCTCTTCCGGCCTCCCTCGGAGCACTGGAGCGGAGAAGACAGGGAGGGAACGTGTGGAGGAGAAAGCTCAAGGTCAGATCGCAGAGGGGAGGGCCCAGCACCCCCAGGCCGGCCCCGGGAAAAGTGAAGGGCTCCAGGAGCCTTCAGGGGCTCAGGCTAGACCGGAAGCTCCGAGGTGGATGTCGGGGGTTTGGGGTGAGCGTTGTGGCTCAGCGGGCACTCACGTGGCAGTCCTTGCACAACGTGGAGCACGCCCTGACCCGGGTCCCGCCACCCGGTCAGGCTTGCACTGGGGGGCTGGGAAATGAAACTAGAGGTGTTTTCCAGCAGTAGTGCAGGCCCAGCAGGCCTCAGCCACCTGGTGGACCCCAGAATGCCCCCCTTGCAAGTCGGGACACACTCACGCAGTGTGCTCCCGAGCCTCAAACCCTGCCACCGTCCTTGAGGGCCACCCTCAGCAACTGCCCTGACTCTTTCTTTGGCCCTTTCTAAAGCAAAATAAGAAAGAGTCACCAGGGTGACTTTAGAGGGGAAGCCCTAGTGGAGGCTTCCGGCGGGCCCCGCATTGACAGCAGCGAACAGTTCGTGTTGACTGGCCCGTTTCCCAAGAAGCCCTTGATATTTCTTGTTGAGTCTCAGTTACTTCTGGAGAATAGGGGCACCCTTCCTGCTTCCATTTGGTTCAGGGGTGGCTCTTGCCGCTTTGAGGCTAGAGGCTGGCTGGGATGGGGCTTCAGCCTTCCCTCCCCACACCATGCACCTCCCTGTGCCTCAGTTTCCCATCCCCCAATTGAAGAGCTGAACTGGCTTCTACCTAAGACCTGCCTTGTTGCCCCTGAGTTTCTGATATTTTGGGCCCAGCTGTGGGAGCACTTCCTTTCCCTGGGCCTCAGTTTACCATCCCCAAATCGAGGAGCCGGACCGGGTCCTACCTTAGACCCACTCTATTGCCCCCGAGTTTCTGATGTTTTGGGCCCAGGGTGGGAGCACTGCCAGCTGTGTTCCCAGAAGTAGGCCAAGATAGCATTGTCATCTCTTCTGACAGATTAGGGAAACAAGGCCACCTCCTCGAGCGCTGGGTTCAGGAAATGGCTCACAGAAATGATAGGGCTGCCTCCCACAGGGGTTGACAGTAACAGAAATGGAATGGCCACAGCCTCTTGGCGGCTGCGGTGGGTGCTGAGAGATACCCACCTTCTCCTGCCTCTCCAATGACCATCTTCTTTTGTCCCTGTTCTCTCCCCACAGCTGAAGGCAGATGTCGTCCCAAAGACAGCTGGTAAGACAGGGCCTGGGCCTTCTGAGATGGGTCTAGAGGGAATGGGGCCAGGCAGGGCAAGGTGGGTGGAGTGGTGAGAAGAGTCGGGGCTCAGAGACCCCTGACGGATGGGAGCTCCATGTGTGGCTCAGACACTGGGTGCCCCGGGCAGCCCTTATGTCCCTGTGTGGGCCTCATCGTTGGCTCTGCCCTCCTCTTTCTTAGTAGCTGGGAGCCTCAGAGCTGGTGGAAGGCACATGTAATAAATTTCCCAGAGACTTCCCCCCTCCTGGTGCCCGATGAGGCAGGGTGATGCACAATCAGCCCTTGAGTCCCTGCTCCATTAGTGCTAGTGCAGCCATAAACTATGCTCTTGTCACAGTGCTCAGGCACTGAGGTCAGGGAAGGGGAGTGACTTTGACTTGTTCAGTTATATAGCAAGTTGGGCAGAGCTGACCCAAGAGGTGGGCCAGGGTCTTTATCCCCCTGTTCACTATTGAGGTTGTAGCAGGGATTTTGGCTGGAACAGGTATGACCCTGGAATTGGGGCCTGGCCCTGTTGACCTGCGTCTCCCTTCGACCCTCAGAGAACTTCAGAGCCTTGTGCACTGGTGAGAAGGGCTTCGGCTACAAAGGCTCCACCTTCCACAGGGTGATCCCCTCCTTCATGTGCCAGGTAAGGTGGTTTCTTCTTCTGTAAGAGGGCATGAGAGCAGGAGCTGCCTCGTGGGTGTGTGAAGATGCCTGGTATGAGGAAGGTGCTGAGCCGGGCAGCTGCACTCGCTCTTTGGGCCAGGGTCCCCTCCCTGTATTCGCCCTGGATCCAGGCCTCACTGCGCACAGAGGCCCAGCCCCAATCCACTGCCATTCCAGGCCACTGGTAGGCCCTGCCCAGGACGCTGGCAGGTAGAGCCTCTCAAGAGAGAGCGGGGTTGGGGGATGGATGCGCCTGGGGGCGGCCCTGAAGGCTTTGAGGAGCCCGCATATTCCAGTGGTCTCTGACCTCATCCCGTGTGTCCCTGACCACTGGTGTGGCAGATAAGAGACGGAGGGAAGAGGAGGAGGCAGAGGAAGAAGACAGGTCCTGGGCAGGACACACATGCCAGGACTTGGAGCTTCCCTTCCGAGAGAAAGGCATTGTTCTCGGGAGGTGAATGCTTTTCAGTCGTGTGTCACGCTCGGTTTTCACAAGCAGTGGTATTGCTGTGTCAGAGGTTTGGGGGGCTAGGTGTTGGCAGCAATAACTTCCTGGGGGTCAGGACTCAGGTGGTGTGGGGGTGGTCCTCTGTTACCGCAGACCTTTAGGAGGAGGGATTGGGCTTCCTGGGCAGGCAGAGCCTGGGGGCAGGGGCATGGCTATCGTGACCTCTTTGAAGACCTTTCCGCGTGGAATTCTCTTCCTATTCCCTCCACCCTGATCAGGTGGCTGTCATGGTACTGTGGTAAGTGGCAGTGGGTTGGGGCTGGACCTCTGGTGTGCAGTGAAGCCTGGATCCGGGGTGAACGAAGGGAGGGCAGGCCTGGCCCAGCCCTGAGGCTGACAGTAAAGCGGGAACGGAGGCGGAATTCCTGAGCCAGGCTGGGAACTCCAGAGCTGCAGGGCTCCTCGGTACAAGGCGGTGGCACTGGGAGGCCAGGCCAGGCTCTTGAGTCATCAGTGTCTGGGAGCACCTAATGGATACTTATGGATGCTTCATCTGGGCTGGTCAGGTCCCCTCTCTCACCCAAGGATCCCATCTCAGGAAAACAGCAGCCAGCCTGGCCTGGGCTGGGCATTTCTAGGCATAGGGGCTGCTGCTGGCCTCTTCTGGCCCCGAGTGCCCCATGCAAGTTTGGCTTGGGCTGCCCAGGCCTTAGCTGAGGCTGGGCAGCCTCTGTCCTGGGTCTGCAAGGGACAGGGAAGCTGCTGGGCTGGGTAAGGGGCAGTGCGGGGACAGTGAAGGGACTAGGCATGGGGAGCTGCTCTGGACGAGCTGCTGGTGCTCCCACTAGATTCGGGAACCGGGGGCCGGGTGGGGGTGGTCTTCTGGTCTGCTTCCCTGTTGCCATTCAAGGGGAGTGGGTTAAATTCAGGGTCACTAAGAATCATCTCAGAATGGCCATTAAGTCCTTTGAAGATTACCTAAAAATTTGCTCAGTCAAAAAGTAAGTCATTTGGAAACAAAGTTAGTTACTGTGACAAAAGATAATTTAAGTTTTGTCTTGTTTTTTGCTTATTTTCCTTATTATTAGCTCTTATCTTATTGACCCCTTCATCTGAGGGGTGCCAACTGGGTGGGTTTGGGTGGGCTGGGAGCTGCTGCCAGGGCCGGGGCCGTGGCCCCAGCCTGCTCCATGGCAGCCATTCAGAAGGTTCTGTGTGTTCACAGGCAGGAGACTTCACCAACCACAATGGCACAGGCGGGAAGTCCATCTACGGAAGCCGCTTTCCTGACGAGAACTTCACACTGAAGCACGTGGGGCCGGGTGAGTGGGGGCTGCCTCTAGGGTGAAGGTCCCCGCAGCTCCCACCCGGCCTGGAAGCCCCAGCAGGCCCTGGGAGGCCACATGCAGTCACCACCCAGTATCTGATGAGGCTCCTTCCTTCCTGCAGCACTGCAGGCCATCTCAGCATTTCTGGCTTATTGGGTTTCCCTAGAGTTTTCTGATCTCCCAGTTTAAAAAGCAGGAGAACCCTTAAGCAGAACCTTGCAGGAAAACCTTTAAGTAGAATGGAGGCCCTGGCCACTTCCCTGTTTTTTTTTTTTGTTGTTTTTTTTTTTGAGACGGAGTTTCGCTCTTGTTGACCTAGGCTGGAGTGCAATGGTGCGATCTCGGCTCACCGCAACCTCCGCCTCCTGGGCTCAGGCAATTCTCCTGCCTCAGCCTCCTGAGTAGCTGGGATTACAGGCACGCGCCACCATGCCCAGCTAATTTTTTGTAATTTTTAGTAGAGACGGGGTTTCACCATGTCGAACAGGATGGTCTCAAACTCTCGACCTCGTGATCCACCCGCCTCGGCCTCCCGAAAGTGCTGGGATTACAGGCTTGAGCCACCGCGCCCGGCCTTCCCTGTTTGTCCTCTGAGTTTCGGGTTGAAAATTCTAGGTCACTTAGAATTGTTGCAGTATGGTCCTTAGGTCCTTTGAGAATTCTTTAAAATCCTTGCTTAGACTAAAAGCAAATCATTTGGAAGCCATAGGTGGTTATTGTGGCAGCATCCTGTCACCTATGAGACCCAAGATAGAATGTGGAGAAGTTTAGAGGTCAAGGCTAGGGGTCCTGCCCTGGGTCCCACCCTGGCCCTACCATCGCGAGTTTCCACAAGGCCCTGTCTCTCAGGCCACCCTCCTGAGACCTAGCGGGCAGCAAAGGCAGACACACCCTGGGGGGCTGATATTGGGCCCTGGTTCTCTTCTTCTGGGTCCCAGGATCTGCAGACTGGAATGTCCCTGGTGTGGTGTGTGCTGTCTGCCCTTTCAAATGCCCTCCCAGGCAGGTGCCTCCGGGGGCAGTGTGGCTCAGCCCTGCTTGTTTTTGCAGGTGTCCTGTCCATGGCTAACGCTGGTCCTAACACCAATGGCTCCCAGTTCTTCATCTGCACCATAAAGACAGACTGGTGAGTTCCCTGCCCCAGGCGCTCAGGGATTGCGGGCAACCTTGCACTGGAGCAGGGTTCGCGCACTTTGAGGGGCAGGCAGTTTACAGCCAGACCATCTGCTCTGGGTCAATGGCTCTCTCCCAGGCTGGGTGTTTGTATGAGAAAGAGGAAGTTAGTGGAAGGATCCAGGGAGAATCAGGGTTCTTCTTGCTCCTCTGTCATGGTTCGGCTGCCCGTTGTTGCTGTCACCTGGAATTTTCTCGGCGTGTTCTGCTTACACGCATACACGAAAGGGTTTCTCTACCAGACACATTTGGGAAATGTTGCAAAATACATTTTGAGGCCTCTGGAGGGACTGAGTAGAAGCTCACTTGTGTGGTTTTAGCCTAGAGTTTCCCAGGCTTACCTTGACCGTGGGCTGAGCCTTGGCAATGCTGCTGATATTGGGCCAGACATTTGGATATCAGCAGATGTGGTATGAAGCCCCTGTGGGATGTACGACAGCTCTTGGATGACTGGGTGGAGCACATTATCACGGGCCTGCAGATAGCCACAGGGCCCCCTTTTCAATGCTCGTGGATTTTAGGGATGTCTCTTTCCTGGTACATTTTCCTTTAAGGGATACATTTTTCTGCCCAGAGTCCCAAATGTCCTGGCCCTGGGGCACCTAGGGAATGAGCTGGCTGGGAGCTGACTTGGTAAAGCCCATTTCCGAGGATTTCAGGGAGACCTAGGTGGGGCGGACACTAGACGTCTCCGGCCTCCAAGCCCAAGAGATGTGGCCGACAGGGCTGGGCAGGTCCTTGCTGGCTCCTGCTCTTGCCTCCTTCATGGGACCCCAGTGAATCCTGCAGTTCTGCTCTTGGCTGGGAACACTCTAGCTTCACTGGAGCTGGACTTAGCCGCCTTTTACATTCTTGGACTCTCTGGAGCCAAGGGCTGCCCAGGACTCCTGTAGTTTTACCACCCTCGTTCCCTTGGCCCTTGCCTCATCATTCATGACCGTTAATGTGGTTCCATTTGTATGGACTTCTTTCTTCAGAGCATTTCAGCATCCTGTTACCTCCCTATGAGGAACAAGAATACTCCACTTTTTTTTTTTTTTTTCTTGAGATCGAGTTTTGCTCTTGTTACTTAGGCTGGAGTGCAATGGCGCGATCTCAGCTCACCGCAACCTCCGCCTCCTGGGTTGAGGCAATTCTGCCTCAGCCTCCTGAGTAGCTGGGATTACAGGCACGCGCCACCATGCCCAGCTAATTTTTTTTTTTTTTTTTTTTTTTTTTTCAGTAGAGACGGGGTTTCACCTTGTTAACCAGGATGGTCTCGATCTCTTGACCTCATGATCCACCTGCCTCGGCCTCCCAAAGTGCTGGGATTACAGGCGTGAGCCACCGCGCCCGGCCTGAATACTCCACTTTTGATAGATGGGGTTACCAGTATTCAGGCTATATGGCCTGAGGCAAGGTCACTTGAGTGGCAGAATGTGTCCTGGAAGCCAAGTGTCATCCTCTAGGGTGTATTTGGGGCACTCAGCAAGGCTTGATCAAGCTTTGGGGGTGGATCTAGCTATTCAGTGGGGATTCCTTTCAGAATTGCTGTTTTTGGTAACTAATTCCATGGCACTGAATGACACTGCACCACACTGTTGCCCCCCTGGCTCACCCATCCTCACAGGTTGGATGGCAAGCATGTTGTATTCGGTCATGTCAAAGAGGGCATGGACGTTGTGAAGAAGATAGAATCTTTCGGCTCTAAGAGTGGGAAGACATCCAAGAAGATTGTCATCACAGACTGTGGCCAGCTGAGCTAACCTGTGGCCAGGGTCCTGGTACGGTGGCAGCTGCAAATGTCCATGCTCCCAGGAAGCTGCCTCAGGCTCTCAGCCATGGTGCCCGAAACGCTGCCTGTGCTCACTGCACCATCGCCGTGTGACTGAGGAAGGCTGCTCAGCGGTGTCGGACCTCAGCCGGGACCCACCACCCTGCTTCCTAGTGCCCAACCTTTCTCACCACCTCATTTCTGGGCATCCTTGTTTACGTGATGCCACCCACCCCTTGTCAAGCATTGCCTGTGATTGCCCAGCCCAGATCACCTGTGCCTTGGACACGGTGGTGGTGATGGGTTAGCATCCAAGTGAAGGTCTTTTCCTTGACCAAGGGGGACAGTCAGTTTTGCCAAAGGGCTCTCATACCTGTCTAATGTTGTCTTCCTAATTGGGATAATTTAATTAACAAGACTGACTTGAAGTGAAGCTGCAACACTAACTTCCCCAGTGCTGTGGTGCGACCTGAGTTGGTGGCACAGGCCACAGACCCCAGAGCTTAGCTTTTGAAACACAACTCAGGGCTTTTGTGAAGGTTCCTCCAGCTGAGATCTTTCCTCCTGGTTACTGTGAAGCCCATTGGTTTGCTGCTGTCATTTTTGAGGGGGGCCCATGGTGGTAGGAGCAGTTGAACCTGGGAACAAACCTCACTTGAGCTGTGCCTAGACAATGTGAATTACTGTGTTGCTAACAGAAGCGATCTGCAAGCTCCTGTGCTCTGGGAGGAAGCATTTCCTGGTAGGCTTTGACTTTTCTGCTGTGTTAAAAAAATTCAGTCTTCTGATGATGTACACAAAACATTTCTAGAACATGTATTTGTGTTCACCTTAAATGTGAAAATAAATCCTATTTTCTATGAAAGACTGGTTCCTGGTTTTTGGAAGAGGTGTCTGTAACTCGGAGCTGAGCTTTACTGAGTGTGCTGTGGCAGGTGCCATGCTCAGGATGTTCCTGTGGATGGTTTCATGTCATTGTGCTGGCCCTGCCTTAGAGATGAGGCTCAGACAAGCGACCTTAGCATCCGCAGCCTACGCCGTGAGCACTGGCTCCGCCCTGCATCCCAGCTCCTCCCCTTGCTGCTGCATAGGTGGAATATTTGTCCCCAGCCAAATCTCATGTTGAAGCCCGAAATCTCATTTAATCCCCAGTGCTGGAGGTGGGGCCTGGCGAGAGGTGTTTGGATTATGGGGACAGGTCTCTCATGGCTTGGTGCTATTTCCTTGATAGTGAGTTCTTGTAAGATCCGGTCATTTAAAAGTGTGGCACTTCCCCTACCCACCTCTTGCTCCTGCTTTCGCCATGTGACATGCCTGATGCCCCTTCACCTTTGGCCATGGTCGTAAGCTTCCTGAGGCAGCTGAATGGTTGGTCAGGCAGGCAGTTCTCAGAGGAAATCTGAGCTTTTTTGGGGGTGTCTAATAGAATTATTTCTCACTGGGGTTCCCTGAGTGAGGTTACGTGCGGTCTCAGGTTGATGGAGTCACCTGTGAGGTCATGGTGGCTGGGATTGGGTCATTTGTAGAAATGGACTTTCTGGGACTCCAGAGTGACACTCTCCACTTAGAAAAGAAGACTCACTTAAGGAGTCTGACTGACAGCTCTTGGATGACTGGGTGGGGCACATCCTATTCTACTCAAACTGGGGGGGGGGGGGCCAGTGGGCAGGGGTGCTCCTCTATAGCACTGGTAAAAGTGGCCAGCCAGGCAGGTGGCTCATGCCTGTAATCCCAGCGCTTTGGGAGGCTGAGGTGAGCAGATCTCTGGAGCCCAGGAGTTCAGGACAAGCCTGGGCAACATAGTGAGACCTCATTGCTACAAAAAAAAAAAAAAAAAAATTAATTTAGCTGGGCTTGGTGACATGTGCTTGTGAGAGGCTAAGGCAAGAGGATCACCTGAGCCTGGGAGGTCGAGGCTGCAGTGAGCCATGATCATGCCACTGCACTCCAGTCTGGGTGAAAAGAAAAAATGGCTTCCCCTGCTTTGCCCTATGCAGGAGCCTGTGAAGGAAGAAGCTCCTTGAGGGCTAGAGGCGCCAGCTCTCCTTTTGCCATCCAGGAGGAGAGGCTGCCTTGGGTGGGCCTCGGATGGAGAGCATTTCTCAGTGAGTGGATTGCAGAGGCCAGAAGTCAGCTCTGTGACCAAGATTCCCCAGAACATGGCAGAGAGAGAAAGTCTTGGTTCTACTCTGCCTCCCAGATCACTCAACCTGCAGAGGCTGTCTGGAATTATGCTGCTAACATTATTGCTATTGTATCATATTGTGATAGTTAAGTTTTACGGGTTTTTTTTTTTTTTTTTTTTTTTTTTTTTTTGAGACAGGGTCTCACTCTGTCACCCATGCTGGAGTGCAGTGGCATAATCATAGCTCACTGTAACCTCGAACTCCTAGGCTCAAGCAATCCTCCCACCTCAGCTGGGACTACAGGTACATGCCACCATGCCTGGCTAATTTATTTTTTAGGAGATGGGGGTCTTGCTATGTTTCCCATGCCAGTCTCAAACTCCTGGCCTCAAGTGGTCCCCCCACTTCAGCCTCCCAAAATGTTGGGATTACAGGTGTGAGCCACCCCACCTGGCCTTATGTGTCAATCTAACTGGGTCACAAGGTGCTTACACATTGGGTTAGACACTATTCTGGATGTGTCTATGAGGGTGTTTCTGTTTGGGATTAGTATTTGCAGAGTTAGACTGAGTAAAGCAGGCAATCCTCCCTAGTGTGGGTGGACCTCATCCAATTAACTGAAGACCGGAATAGAACAAAAGGCTAAGAGGGAACTCCTCCTGCCTGACTGTCCTGAAATGGAACATTGGACTCAAACTGAAATGTTGGCTCCATTAGTATCTTGAGCCTGCCAGCCTTCAGACTGGAGCCTACATCAGCTCTTCTGGTTCTCAGGCCTTCAGACTCATACTGGACCTACACCATCAGCTTCCTGGGTCTCCAGCCCGCCAACTGCAGATCTTGGGACTTCTCAGCCCCTATGATCACGTGAGCCAATTCCTTATATTTTTATATCATATATATCTTATGTGTATGGTATAAATACATACACATGCTCAGACATATATCTTCTATTGATTCTGTTTCTCTTACACATTTTGTCTTTTTTCTATTCATAAAACCAAAACACACTTGTAAAAATTCAAATGTTACGTAATACAGAGAATGAGCATTGCCTACAAGTCCTTTCAGAGTAATAGTTGTTATAGGTTTCTGCATTTGCTTAGCTGCAAAGACCATCAGTCCTTTCCTAACAATGAAGAAGAAGTTCAATAAACTACAAAATCTTAACTTTTCTTGAGTTTACCAGAAAGGCAACCAGTAAAAAAAATACCAAAATACCCAGAGCAAAACCATGACAGAAATAAAGGGAGAAATAACAATTTAACAATAATAGTTGGAGACTTCAATAATGACTTAGAACAACTAGACAGAAGAATAACAGGAAAACAGAGGGCTAGAACAAAACTGTACACAATCCAGATGTAGCAGACCTCAGTAGACCCCTCTGCCTAACAACAACAAAGGGTACCTTCTTCTCAAGCACACACGTGGAACTTTGTCTAGGGCAGGTCATCTGGCTAGACTATAAACAAACCTTTATACATTTAAAGGACAGGAATAATGTGAAGCATGTTTTCTAAGCACAGTGGAATGAAATTAAAAGTCAATTGCAGGGAAAATTTGAGGGAACCCTTAATAAGTAGACATCAACAATTAAACAACACATTCCTGGATAAGCAATGAGTCAAAGAAAAAAATCAGAAGGGAAATAAAAAAATACTTGACATGAATGAGAAAATCAAGCATACCAAACCTGGGATGCAGCTAAAGCAGTGATTAGAGGGAAACTTGTAACTGTAAATGCCTACATTAATGAAGAAGAAAGGTTTCAAATGAGTAACCTAATCTTTCACCTTAAAACACTGGGAAAAGAAGCCAAAATAAATACAGAGCAAGAAAAAGGAAGGAAATAAAGATTAAGGCATAAATTAATAAAATAGAGATGGGAAAACTATAGAGAAAAATCAATGACCCAAAAGCCAGTTTTTCGTAGAGACATCAACGAAACTGACAAACCTTTAGTCAGTTTGACTGACACAAGAGCAGAAAATCAAACACCGTGTATTCTCACTCATAGGTGGGTGTTGAACAATGAGAACACATGGACACAGGGAGGGGAGCACTACACACTGGGGTCCGTTGGGGGGAAATGGGGGAGGGGCGGGGGGGGAGGGGAGGTGGGAAGAGATAGCATGGGGAGAAATGACAGATACAGGTGAGGGGACGGAAGGCAGCAAACCACACTGCCAAGTGTGTACCTATGCAACAATCTTGCATGTTCATCACATGTACCCCAAAACCTAAAATGCAATAAAAAAAAATTAAAGAGGGAATATTATTATCCACCTTTCAGAAAGAAAAAGGATTAGAGAGAAATAGTATGAACAGTTGTATTGCAACAAATTAGATAACTTACATGAAATGCACTAATTCCTAGAAAGACACAGACTTAAAAAACTGCCTCAAGAATAAATAAACAATCTGAATAGACCCCTAGTAAGCGAAGAGATTAAAGCAGTAATCAAAATCTACCTGCAAAGTCTACGTCCAGATGGCCTCTGGGCTGCATTCTACCAAACACTCAAAGAAGATACCAGTTTTTTACAAATTCTTCCAAAAAATGGAAGACAAGGGAACAGTCTTCTGTTATTCTGAGACCAGTATTACCTTGAGGTAAAAACCAAAGACATCACAAGAGAAGAAAACTATGGACCAATATCTCTTAGAATATGGCCGCAAAAATCCCCAACAAAATACTAGCAAATGAATACAGCAACATATAAAAAGAATTATACATCTTGACCAAATGTGATTTATCCCAAGGATGTAAGATTAACATCTGAAAATGTATTAATATATATTATAATTGCATAATATATAAAGGCATATAATACAGTTTCAATAGAATAAAAACAAAATCATATAACTGTCTTAATAGAGGCAGAAGAAGCATTCAACAAAATCCAAAACCCTTTCATTATTTTAAAAAAAACATTGAATGAGCTAGTAATAGGAAAAAATCTCAATCTGTAAAGGGCATCTATGACAAACCTAGAGCTAACATCATAGTTAATGGTGAAAGACTGGATGCTTTCTCCTTAAGATCAGGAATAAGACATGTTACATGCTTTTGCTTTTGGAACTTATTTTTTTGACATACGGTCTTACTGTGTTGCTCAGGCTGGAGGTGAGTGCAGTGGTGCAATCAGGGCTCACTTCAGCCTTGAACTTCAGGCTTAGGTGATCATCCCACCTTACCCTCGTGAGTAGTTGGAACCACAAGCACACACCACTACACCTGGCTAATTTTTTGTTTTAGTTTTTGGTAGAGATGGGATTTCATCATGTTGCCCAGGCTGGTCTGAAACTCCTCGACTCAAGCAGTCTATCCCCTTGGCTTCTCAAAGGGCTGGGATTACAGGCATGAGCCACCGCACCCAGCTTGCTTTTGGAACTTCTATTTAAAATTGTACTGGAGCCTGTAGTTGGCGCAATTAGGAAAAACAAAGAGGCATCTAGTTTGTAAAGGAAGAAATAAAACTGTCTCTACTGTCGGGTGACATAATATTTTATATAGAAAAGCTTAAGCAACCCACTATAAATTATTACAAAGTAAACCAGTAAAAAAGTTTATCACAATCACAGATATGGGCTCAACATACAAAAAAGATCAGCTGTATTTTTATACACTTGCATAAACCCAAAAATGGAATTAAGATAATTCTATCCACAATGAAATACCTAGGAATAAATTTGGCAACAAAAGTGCAAAAAACATTCTGAAAACTACAAAACC